AAGTCGTTTAAAGTTTTAGTCAAGGTTATTTACAATCTCAATATTTGTCAGGCTCTATCTCTGGAAGCCAACAGCCAAATATGAAGGTTCTATACCTTTTAGTTCTTCTTCAGAAGTCGCTTAAAGAGTTCAACATATTTGACCGCTGTGACCTTGCAATTGAAAGTAAGTCAGTCATTTTCATTCTCAAACTCTGTTGGCCACCATCCCAGGAAGCCATCAGCCAAACATAAAGATTCTATACCTTTTAGTTCTTCAGAAGTCGTTTGAAAAGTTTGACACATATGACCCCTGTGACCTTGAAAGTAGGTCAAAGTAATTTTCATTCTCAAACTTTGTCGGGCTCTATCCCAGGAAGCCACCAGCCAAATTTGAAGATTCCTTTTAGTTCTTCAGGAGAAGTGGTTTGAAGCGTTTGACATATTTGACCGCTGTGACCTTGAAAGTAGGTCAAGGTCATTTCAATGAGGAAATTTTATAGCTCTCTAACCAAGGTACCTACAGGCAAAATATTATGACACTGGGCCTTATGGAACTCGAGAAGAAGATTGTTAAAGTTTTCAACATATTTGACCCCTGTAACCTTGAAAGTAGGTCAATGTCATTTTAATGAGGAAACTTTATAGCACTCCATCCCAGGTACCTACTGGCATAATAGTATGACCATGGGCCTTATGGAACTTCAGAAGATTGTTCAAGTTTTTAGCATACTTGACCCTTGTAACCTTGAAAGTAGGTCAAGGTCATTTTAATGAGGAAAATGTATAGCTCTCCATCCCAGGTACCTACTGGCATAATATTATGACCCTGGGCCTTATGGAACTTGAGAAGAAGATTATCAAAGTTTTTAACATATTTGACCCCTGTGACTTTGAAAGTAAGTCAGTCATTTTCATTCTCAAATTTTGTCAGGCTCTATCCCAGAAAGCCACCAGCCAAATATGAAGATTCTTTACTTTTTAGTTCTTCAGAAGAAGTCGTTTTAAGCTTTTGACATATTTGACCGCTGTGACCTTGAAAGTACACCAAAGTCATTTTCATTCTCAAACTTTGTTGGGCTCTATCCCAGGAAGCCACCAGCCAAATATGAAGATTCTTTACTTTTTAGTTCTTCAGAAGAAGTCGTTTGAAGCGTTTGACATATTTGACCGCTGTGACCTTGAAATTAAATCGAAGTCATTTCATTTTCAAACTTTGACGGGCTCTATCCCAGGAAGCCACCAGCCAAATATGAAGTTCTAGACCATTAAGTTCTTCAGAAGAAGTCATTTAAGCGTTTGACATATTTGACCCCTGTGACCTTGAAAGTAAGTCCAAGTAATTTTCATTCTCAAACTTCGGGCAGGTGAGCTAATAATAATAATTAAAAATAATTATAGTTCGAGGTTCTTACATACTGCTTTATCACAACCTAGTTCGTAGGTTGTCTCAAAGCAGTTCACAAATTATTATCCCTGGTTAGGCCAAAACAAGTATCATCCTGTTTAATTTAAGAACACAGTTCCTAGGATGAATCGGATTTAAACACCAGAAAGATCCTTTTAAAAATATTTTTGTCAGCAAATGTGATTGGCAAATGATAACAGAGATTATAAACTTCATTTATGACATAAGACGCTGTACATTTACACGGAGATTCTCAGGTAAAAAGGTCAAGTATTTCATCAAGAATTGCATGTGATTTGCTACAGGTTTCAGGTCGTCATTCAATATATTTACTGTCACAGTCGGCATATAGATATATCTTAGCTGCGGTCTAGTTTATGATTTAATTATCGATAAATAGTTTGAAGAAATCAATTAGCTCAAAACGTATCAATATCAATGTTCAATTCAGCCTCACCTGCAGACGACATGTGCGCCTCGGTCTGCCGATGTTTTCCTGTTTGCGTAGGGCACAAAGCCGTTCATTGGAAAGTTACATATTATGTTACACCGAAGTATTTCCACATCAACCATGTCAAACCCTTCAAAACCTTTATTATCATCGTAGGTGACGCTGGAGAATAAATGTTTACCATAATATTCATCGCTTCTATCTACACGTCCGCCATTTTTATGACGTTTATTCAATTTGAAATCTTGCACACCTGTGTTATTACTAGGGTACACTGCCGGGATTATTGAAATTGATGACAAAACAACCAATCACAAGCCTTCTACTATATGTGTTTGGGTTTGGTAGAGCACACTAGCGCTACCAGAGGCTAGAAAGACCGAAATCAGAATTCGGTGACAGCACCGAATTCCGGAAAATCATTTTTTTCTCTGATTTTGTCCAAAAAACCCTTTAGGGTCGGGCATGAAAAGACAAGGTCGGTCGGGAAGCAGGAAACAAGACTATATTTATGTTGGCCCTATATATATAGGGCCTTTGCAACCAGATAATACCTTTCTCAACTCCCTGAGGAGCATACAGCCGGAGCGGACATTTCGGTGCTAACAGCTAGCATTCAACAATTCTAGCACTGTGCAACCACATACTCATTTACAGCTGAGTATACTGGAACAAGCGGAGTAAAGTATCTTGCCCAAAGATACAACACAGTGCCGTGCCGTGACTCGAACATGCAACCCTTCGGTCACGAGCCCGACGTCCTACCACTAGACTACTGTGCCTCCTCTCATGTAGTGAAAGCATTGTGGTTATGTCCCTTGACAGTGTAGAACCTCAGGTCCTTGTACTTGGTTCATTCTGCCAGACATTCAGCTTTAATAAGGTGGCTATATAAGGACTTGTTAAAGCCAGGCGTCACAATTTATAGTGACAGGGTGGTATTTCTTGTATTTCTCCAGATGCTGCAGTCTTGTGGCATTGTCAGTAGTCCAAGCAGCTCTGCCATCGCAGACGTCATCCTCATACAGTAAAACCCTGTTGTAATGACACCCGATAAATCGCCAAACCTGCATACCGCCATTGATTTACTCACAACGCATTTTCCCAACGTTAATGCACTCGTTGTAACGCCAAACCCGTATACCTCCATCCGCCATCATAATCCCAAATCAAATGGTTAAAATCACACTATTTTGACCTCGTTATATACCGCCAATTTGAGACGAGTACAGGTACTGTATATGCCAATGACAGGAATGTTACGTACGTGTGTACATTATATTTACATTCTGTATGCTTAGACCCATTGACAAAAATTACATTCATAAATGCATAACACAGGTGTTCATAGAATCTCAGCACGTGGGAACTGATAGTAACCTGATCACACTGCGTAGTAATACACTACAAAAACTACTCACTCGGAACGACCGACCTAGATGCTTAATTCTTACATCTTAAAATATTATTGAACTGTGCTTTGTGAAATATCCACGTATTCACGTGTCCTGTGCTACAAATAAACATTGAATATGGAACTACATTTTGTTGTGTTATTGTTGTTGACGGTTGCTAAGATCTCTCACGATAGTGTCACATTTCCCCGCGAAAAAACACTGTTCTCGCCACTGCGTTGCACCCGTGTATAAGCAGGAACAAACCCTGTTTATTTGTTTTATTCGTTGTTATATCGATCCACTGAAAGGATTCGTCAATGTAAATATAAGGAATGATATTTATTTTTTCAACATTTATGAGGTCATAACAACAATGGGTTTTTGGACATATTTTACATGAATCGCTAACGCGATTCATTCAATATGTCCATAAACCCATTGTTGTTATGACCTCATAAATGTTGAAAAAATAAAAAATCATTCCTTAAGTATTGTTACACGTGACTGCCGACTGACCAGGTAATCAGTTGTATGTTTTGCAAGCTCAACAATTTGATACATTAAATAATAATTTTGAAAAAAACCAACGTATTCTGAAGTAAATTATTATTTGTTTAAAGTATAAGTTCAGTTGGTGTGTACATGTGAACACTTGGGTTTAAAACTGTAAACCCAATACACCGCCAAACTCGTTATACCGCCAAAATCACAGAGGACAGCATCCTTGATATCCAGGGGTTACGCGCATTTTCGCTCTCTACACCCCTGGAATATGTCATAGCAAAATTGAAGACTTGGTGTGCGCCACCTTGTTGATGAGACAAGGAGACTAGTTTGATCCTTTGATATATATATATATACATCAAAAGATAGGTATCAGCCTAGTGATTGGTCAGGTGTTTTTTCACCCCAGACAATCAAACAGCTGTCTTTGTGCCTTCAATTTTGCTATGACAAATTCTATTTCAGGGGTGTAGAGAGCGAAAGTGAACGTAACCCCTAGATATCGAGGATGAGAGGACAGAAGGTTGCAGTATAACAAGGTTTTAAGGTATGACTTTAGCTGTTGCTAGTTAAACATAAATCGAGTGAAAATTACTGTCTCTTTGTTTACAATTGATCTAGAAGCAAAAGTCTCTTGATAATCAGGTTTAACATAGATATCACATTCCTTCGAAAATATACGCTGGAGGCGGGTAAATGATGAGTGGGGAGTCTTTTATATTCATACACACATTTTTTCCCAATATATCTCTAACTACTTCCCCACCCCAGCAGACGCGAGTGTGACATCTATTTATCCCACATCAAAGTTGAAATTTACAAGCCTAACTTATATTTTCATGGTAAATATTGAAAACTTTCACTAGCTCTGACATAAGTTCTACTAGACTAGCCCCGGGTGTCAGGCTAGTGGAATGCACAACCCCTGTTAATGCGGAACTCCCCGCCCCCCCGCCCATCATTTCCAAAATACTGAAACGACTTTTGGGAATACTAAAACATGTACTATATATATGTGCACCTTATCAAAGTTAGCAGTGTAATGTCTCCATACCCAAAAGCATCTGGCTCTTGATGCCAAAATGTTAGTACCACTCATTCCATGATGGCATTATAATTGCCTTCATGAACCAGGTATAAGGGTCCTGTCCTGTATTGCATATTTGCTTACAGTAAGCAAATATTCAATTACACATATATATCTGCTGTATAAATGGTGGCCTTCTACACAGATTACACGTGAGAAATTAGACAAAGTTTACCTTTCATCTGCTTTCGTTGGACTAGACATGCCACCAACAGCTTCAGCAACAGCTAATGGCGTCAAGATTGGGGCTGAAAAATCACTGAAATGTGAAGGACCGGTTACCGGTTTCAATTGATGAGTAAGTCTACTGTCTAGGCCTGTTTGGTCATTGTTAAACCGACTAGCAGCAATGTTAAAATTCAAAGTTTGAACTTCACCCCCATCCGACTCATTCCAGTGTGCAGTATCTTTAGCAGACGCTGGATTAGAGCTAGAGTCTACAGTACTTTGGTTGATTTGGGACTGCCCACTTGGAACAGGACCCAGACCTGTGCCTCCTGGTTGTGGCAGTTTTGTCTGATCATTCAAAGTTGGAGGCATTTGTCCGGTAATGCTGTTTGGAATTTGTGAGGTGCCTGTAGTAACTGGCATTGATGAATGTTGTGAACTAGGGTTAGCATTATCTGCTACTGGAGTCTGGACTTGCATAGGTTTTTGTACATGACCTGGTGGTACCGACCCACCGTGTCCAGTAACTGGGCCTGTCTGCGGGATATTTTGCCTAGTCTGACCAGGCGATCCCGCACCAGCATTTACAACAATGCCCTGGTAGTTTTGCGATGGATGGGTTGGCAAACTAGTAGGAATCTGGGACACGTTTGGATTAGGTTGGTTATAGGAATGTGTGCCGTCCTGGGAAGTAGGCACCATTCCTGGTTGCGGTTTAGACTGAAATTTATCACTCTGATTATCACTTTGAATGACAAATCCGTCCGTTCCTTGGTTCTGCAATCCCGTCACAGCTAATGGATTCTTGGCTGGATCATCAACACCAGGAACATAATGTATAGAACTTGAAGCACTTGAGTTTCCAGAATTGGCTTGATCATCTGTCGTCGAGTCTCTAACTACCTTTGTTTCACTCTTTTCTGTCACTGGCGTGTCAAGCAAATCATGACACAGCCATCTACCCCTTCTAAATGGTTCTTTGGTCTCTATTTTAACTACTTTAAAACGTGTGGTGGTACTAGAATGAACATCACTTTTCTCTTTAGTTGTGACCTCCTTACCGCCTGTATTGCTAATTATCACTTCCGAGTCCTGACCAAACGTCTGGGTAAAATCCTCTAAAGGCGTGTTTTGGTCGCCTAGATCTGTATATTTAGAACTATCTAGGATTTCTGAACTTAGATCTTCTGTGTGACTTTCCACAGTCTCATCTAAGTCATCCATAGAATCACCATCTGCATCGTTCGGGGGGTCCCCTCCGATCGGGGGGCGCTGAATGTTTTTCGTCACGCTTGTGATTTTAAACGTGCTTTTCTTTTTATGCATACCGTCTGTTAAGGATTTCATATTTCCCATAGAAGGCCTATGGTCCAAATCCTCCTTTGTGTTTGTGTCATAAACACTAGAATTCGACGAAGAGTTATCCACTGTGACTGCCATTTTGTCAAACTTTGGATGAGCTGCCATTTTGTTCACTTCAGCATCGGAATATATGGAGAATTATCTCTCTAAAAAGGCCAGTCCATGAGAGACAATACCCACGGTATAAATCTCCCATCTTTCTCTGTTCGATCAAGTCCCTTAAGTCATTATTAATCGTCCATACGGCAACTTTCTGACACAAAACAAGACGCACCTATACACCCTCACCTTCGTTGAATGACGGCAGACATGAACAGCTACGAATGATGGGAAGTGACGTCAGGAGGTCTGCTTGACCTAAAAAATTCTCGTGCGACCCCGTTTGACACCAACTTTGACCTCATCAACTAAAATCACTATCACCAGATGAAAATGATTAAANATTTTTTAATTCGATTGGCTCATTGTCATATCACATTCGACTTTAAATTTTGGAAACTTACGCAACACAGGTGCAACCCCCAGATTTCACATGTCCATCCTTCTGTAGGAGAAGCCACGTAGAATACGGAGTGGCACTTTGTCTGGTCTCAGGGATACACGACGCCTTGACGTACAAATGCGAGTCACTATTTGAAATGGTCCCGAGGCAAACGTCATTGATATGATGGTCCATGTAGAGTTTGTAACCATTATCGTTCTTGTAATTTTTCAACCTCGATTCAGACCAACCGCATACGTTCATGAAATATATGATGATATCACAGTACTCCACATTAGGGGCAGAAGTCATATCAGACATCCAGGACTTTACCTTGCTGACGTCATCCAATACAGTTGAATCAACAGTGCGTCTCAGGACGTCCATGTCGTGGTAGTCATCACAGGTCACAACCTCTAAGTCCAACTCGTTTGCTAGCTTGCACAGTCTAACTAAATCGTTTTTACGGTACAAACTGCATGCTATACCCCTCTCTTGCAAATAATGTTTCAAAAATGGCACCTGAAATCCTTCAAAATCCATCCCGGTAAAAATATTTGTATAGCAAGTTGAAAAAATTGTGAATGTTGAGGAATGTCAGCGTAAACCGGAAGTTTACATGCCTCGATTTTCGTTTCCATGGGTACTCTTTTTTACCTCCACACAGGAGTTTCTTATAACCCGGAACAGAGCTATTGTAACTGTTATTAAATTTAACAGAAAAAATGCTATGATCTCGACTTTTCTATGAAGCATTTCTCTCTGATTTAAGTTTTAATTGTTTATGTTTACTTTAATTCAGATGGCCACATTTGTACCTGACAAGATACCCTCGTATCTTGGTAAGGTGGGAAGCTTCGCAAGGTATATTGGGACGGAGAAACCAGAGATCACCTGGTACATGTAAGTTGTCTCCCCAGACTTATTACCTCCTTTTGTAGGATATCAAGGTATATTTTGGGACGGAAAAACCAGAGATCACCTGGTACATGTAAGTTGTCTCCAAGACTTATTACCTCCCTTTGTAGGATATCAAGGTATATTGGGACTGAGAAACCAGAGATCACCTGGTACATGTAAGTTGTCTCNGGGTGTAGAGAGCGAAAGTGAACGTAACCCCTAGATATCGAGGATGAGAGGACAGAAGGTTGCAGTATAACAAGGTTTTAAGGTATGACTTTAGCTGTTGCTAGTTAAACATAAATCGAGTGAAAATTACTGTCTCTTTGTTTACAATTGATCTAGAAGCAAAAGTCTCTTGATAATCAGGTTTAACATAGATATCACATTCCTTCGAAAATATACGCTGGAGGCAGGTAAATGATGAGTGGGGAGTCTTTTATATTCATACACACATTTTTTCCCAATATATCTCTAACTACTTCCCCACCCCAGCAGACGCGAGTGTGACATCTATTTATCCCACATCAAAGTTGAAATTTACAAGCCTAACTTATATTTTCATGGTAAATATTGAAAACTTTCACTAGCTCTGACATAAGTTCTACTAGACTAGCCCCGGGTGTCAGGCTAGTGGAATGCACAACCCCTGTTAATGCGGAACTCCCCGCCCCCCCGCCCATCATTTCCAAAATACTGAAACGACTTTTGGGAATACTAAAACATGTACTATATATATGTGCACCTTATCAAAGTTAGCAGTGTAATGTCTCCATACCCAAAAGCATCTGGCTCTTGATGCCAAAATGTTAGTACCACTCATTCCATGATGGCATTATAATTGCCTTCATGAACCAGGTATAAGGGTCCTGTCCTGTATTGCATATTTGCTTACAGTAAGCAAATATTCAATTACACATATATATCTGCTGTATAAATGGTGGCCTTCTACACAGATTACACGTGAGAAATTAGACAAAGTTTACCTTTCATCTGCTTTCGTTGGACTAGACATGCCACCAACAGCTTCAGCAACAGCTAATGGCGTCAAGATTGGGGCTGAAAAATCACTGAAATGTGAAGGACCGGTTACCGGTTTCAATTGATGAGTAAGTCTACTGTCTAGGCCTGTTTGGTCATTGTTAAACCGACTAGCAGCAATGTTAAAATTCAAAGTTTGAACTTCACCCCCATCCGACTCATTCCAGTGTGCAGTATCTTTAGCAGACGCTGGATTAGAGCTAGAGTCTACAGTACTTTGGTTGATTTGGGACTGCCCACTTGGAACAGGACCCAGACCTGTGCCTCCTGGTTGTGGCAGTTTTGTCTGATCATTCAAAGTTGGAGGCATTTGTCCGGTAATGCTGTTTGGAATTTGTGAGGTGCCTGTAGTAACTGGCATTGATGAATGTTGTGAACTAGGGTTAGCATTATCTGCTACTGGAGTCTGGACTTGCATAGGTTTTTGTACATGACCTGGTGGTACCGACCCACCGTGTCCAGTAACTGGGCCTGTCTGCGGGATATTTTGCCTAGTCTGACCAGGCGATCCCGCACCAGTATTTACAACAATGCCCTGGTAGTTTTGCGATGGATGGGTTGGCAAACTAGTAGGAATCTGGGACACGTTTGGATTAGGTTGGTTATAGGAATGTGTGCCGTCCTGGGAAGTAGGCACCATTCCTGGTTGCGGTTTAGACTGAAATTTATCACTCTGATTATCACTTTGAATGACAAATCCGTCCGTTCCTTGGTTCTGCAATCCCGTCACAGCTAATGGATTCTTGGCTGGATCATCAACACCGGGAACATAATGTATAGAACTTGAAGCACTTGAGTTTCCAGAATTGGCTTGATCATCTGTCGTCGAGTCTCTAACTACCTTTGTTTCACTCTTTTCTGTCACTGGCGTGTCAAGCAAATCATGACACAGCCATCTACCCCTTCTAAATGGTTCTTTGGTCTCTATTTTAACTACTTTAAAACGTGTGGTGGTACTAGAATGAACATCACTTTTCTCTTTAGTTGTGACCTCCTTACCGCCTGTATTGCTAATTATCACTTCCGAGTCCTGACCAAACGTCTGGGTAAAATCCTCTAAAGGCGTGTTTTGGTCGCCTAGATCTGTATATTTAGAACTATCTAGGATTTCTGAACTTAGATCTTCTGTGTGACTTTCCACAGTCTCGTCTAAGTCATCCATAGAATCACCATCTGCATCGTTCGGGGGGTCCCCTCCGATCGGGGGGCGCTGAATGTTTTTCGTCACGCTTGTGATTTTAAACGTGCTCTTCTTTTTATGCATACCGTCTGTTAAGGATTTCATATTTCCCATAGAAGGCCTATGGTCCAAATCCTCCTTTGTGTTTGTGTCATAAACACTAGAATTCGACGAAGAGTTATCCACTGTGACTGCCATTTTGTCAAACTTTGGATGAGCTGCCATTTTGTTCACTTCAGCATCGGAATATATGGAGAATTATCTCTCTAAAAAGGCCAGTCCATGAGAGACAATACCCACGGTATAAATCTCCCATCTTTCTCTGTTCGATCAAGTCCCTTAAGTCATTATTAATCGTCCATACGGCAACTTTCTGACACAAAACAAGACGCACCTATACACCCTCACCTTCGTTGAATGACGGCAGACATGAACAGCTACGAATGATGGGAAGTGACGTCAGGAGGTCTGCTTGACCTAAAAAATTCTCGTGCGACCCCGTTTGACACCAACTTTGACCTCATCAACTAAAATCACTATCACCAGATGAAAATGATTAAAATGTCTGCAGAGTTTAGGTTATTTTAATTATATGAAAGATAATTTATCATAATATACAAAAAACAGTCGTATCGTTTTGTGAATTAGAATGCACGTTAGCAGACGAATTTGCCAGATTCAGTAATTTTGCACAAAAAACTTCAAATCCGGTTTTAAAGGAGATTTTCATGATCTATGGTTTTTGCCTAAAAGGCTCTTCTGATTTGAGGCATCTAGAAAACTATAATGACCACAGACCTCCAGTAGAAAATGTATAAGTCTCTGTCTAATTTAATCATACATACCCTCGGATGATAATGTATCCATTATCTAGCCTTGTATATTGACATCAAAGATACATATTTTAGTTCTTAGATGGTAAGCAATGTTTTGTGTCCCTTAATTGGGCTTAAATGTTTTAACACGGCGATGAAATATAACGGATTCAAAACTTTAAGTAATACTAGAGGATCATAATTAATTTTAAATCGAATTAAAATTTGAGACCCCTCAATTCTTATATAAGTTGTTCCCAAACTGATAAATGGAATTAATGATGCAGAGATAAATAGCCACGGAATTATCTTAGTCCGTGGATCTAATTCCGTGGGTGTAATGACACCCTGTATAGTTAGCTTGTAAAACCACGGAATTAGATTATCTAAGTCCGTGGTTAAACCACGGTCCTTTGATACATAATTCCGTGGTTTAACAGTGGTGACCTCATGAGTGTATCTCCATTTGATTTCTATTTTTTTTAAATTATATATAATATAAAATAGTAAACGTTGATGGACTGTTACTTGATTGTATCAGAGATGTAATGTACACTTTTATGACCGATATTTAAAGATATTATAACTATTAATGTCAAACACAAGTGTATCCAAATCTAACATGAATAAATTATATCTTACAATATGTAGCACGGCACATATTTCTGATTTAGTTTTATAACAAATAATCTTACAATATTGCAGAGGTACATATCACCAGAGACGTATTATACGTCTCTGATATCACGGACTTACAAGTAGGCTACAGTATTATTTAGATTATGTACAGTAGTGTATATTTTTGACCATATGTGAGAAGAGACTCACTGTGATTCAATACGTTATGAAAGAGATCAGTATAAATTTATCTTATAATACACTACCAATGCTCCAGCTATCATTAGAATGGACTTGAGCAAGTCTAACCAACCAGTCAGCCAGACGAGCGCGAGGCTGGAAAATCACAAACGACCTTGACCCTCCAAATGTCGGTCACTAGTAGCAAAGTCTCGTCGCTTGAGAGAATATTTGCTCGGACGAGACAGTCACCAGAGACTAAAGATGAGCGAAAAGGACTATTTTCGCACTGCAAGGCCGTTTTGGGTCGGTTTGATCGGCTTTGGGATTGTTTTATTGACAGTAAGTTGGAAGCAGGTGCCCGTTCAAGGCAACGCACGGCACAGGAACATGATTTCAGTGCCTGAGCTGGGAAACTGAAAGCTGTGACACGGGGTCACGAGGATAGTGGCCATGGCCATGGGAAATAATGGATATTTTCAGAATCAAACTCTGAACAAATGACAAAATAATTAAATGCCAGGCTTTATTAGTGTAATCAAAATAAGTTGAAATAGCGTGTTTTTTTAATTGATGTTATGATAATTATTTATAACNCTTATTACCTCCCTTTGTAGGATATCAAGGTATATTGGGACTGAGAGACCAGAGACCACCTGTTAGATGTAAGTTGTCTCCCCAGACTTATTACCTTCCTTTGAAGGATATCAAGGTATATTGGGACTGAGAGACCAGAGACCACCTGGTACATGTAAGTTGTCTCCCCAGACTTATTACCTCCCTTTATAGGATATCGAGGTATATTGGGACTGAGAGAGCAGAGATCACCTGTTAGNTTCAAACCCGGGATCTTCCAAACTCTAGCAGACGATCAACCCACTCAAGTTCTGCTACATTCCTCCCTCCTTTTTCTAAGTCTACGCACAACTAGTTACAACCCAGGTTCGGCAAGCATACACTAAATGCTTGAAAATGTTGGTCACAGGCACCACATGCACTGTAACAGGAGAGGGAAAATGCATGGCCAGACCGGGGTTCGAACCCGGGACCTTCCGAATTCTAGACGGATGCNCAGAGATCACCTGGTACATGTAAGTTGTCTCCCCAGACTTATTACCTCCCTTTATAGGATATCGAGGTATATTGGGACTGAGAGAGCAGAGATCACCTGGTACATGTAAGTTGTCTCCCCAGACTTATTACCTCCCTTTGTAGGATATCAAGGTATATTGGGACTAAGAGACCAGAGATCACCTGGTACATGTAAGTTGTCTCCCCAGACTTATTACCTCCCTTTATAGGATATCGAGGTATATTGGGACTGAGAGAGCAGAGATCACCTGGTACATGTTAGTTGTCTCCCCAGACTTATTACCTCCCTTTGTAGGATATCAAGGTATATTGGGACTAAGAGACCAGAGATCACCTGGTACATGTAAGTTGTCTCCCCAGACTTATTACCTCCCTTAGTAGGCCCTCATTACCTCCCTTAGTAGGATATTGAGGGCCTGTTCGTTTATGCGGAACAACANGAATTCTAGACGGATGCTCTACCAATGCAATTGAGCTACTGGGTCGCTGACAATCGACCCAGTCCAGTTCTGCTACAGAACTAGTAAATCAGTCAATGTTGAAAAAAACTGAATTGGGTTCAATTAATTTAGGCCTTTAACTGGTCATGGGATTTCAGTTGTTAGGAGATTTATAGGAGAGTTGGACTTATGGAAAGTTTAGTAGAAGCATCTCCGTTACAAATTTGACAATAGAAGCCCCCCTCCCCACACCCCAATCCCCAACATTTTTTGCAAAGTCATGTACTCTAGCTCTAAACCACTGTAATTACAATAATTTCATATTCCCATTAGATTCTCTCTTTTTTTCAAGAAATTTTCAGATGAGTGGGAAGCAAAGAACCTGAATAACACCCGCATGGTTAGCCAAGTGACCCCATATCTTTTCATGTCTGATATAGGGAAATAAAACCCTGGTCATCCTGGTGAAAGTCATTAGTGCGATCGATATCCTATGTGCCACCTGACCACCCGTTATCACGTTTTATCTCCCTACAATAGCTCTGTTCCGGGTTCCGTCCGGATCAAATCGGTTCTGACTTTATGCGCGGCGGAAGTCACGTGATTTTCTGCAAAGTCTAGGCATGCCGACTTCCGGCGTCCGTAGCAACGTCGTCTGCTTCAGTCATTATNCAGAGATCACCTGGTACATGTAAGTTGTCTCCCCAGACTTATTACCTCCCTTTATAGGATATCGAGGTATATTGGGACTGAGAGAGCAGAGATCACCTGGTACATGTTAGTTGTCTCCCCAGACTTATTACCTCCCTTTGTAGGATATCAAGGTATATTGGGACTAAGAGACCAGAGATCACCTGGTACATGTAAGTTGTCTCCCCAGACTTATTACCTCCCTTTATAGGATATCGAGGTATATTGGGACTGAGAGAGCAGAGATCACCTGGTACATGTTAGTTGTCTCCCCAGACTTATTACCTCCCTTTGTAGGATATCAAGGTATATTGGGACTAAGAGACCAGAGATCACCTGGTACATGTAAGTTGTCTCCCCAGACTTATTACCTCCCTTAGTAGGCCCTCATTACCTCCCTTAGTAGGATATTGAGGGCCTGTTCGTTTATGCGGAACAACAGGTTTGTCCGTTTATAAATGTAACAATTTCGGGTATAAATCCTGGCGGACCAGCAAATGTATATGCAGGCCTTACAAGGCTTTGTCAAGGCTCGCCTGAAAGCAGCATCAGATTACTTGGTCCGACCTTATTTAATAAACGAACAACTGTGGTCCAACCTGTTCAACCGTTTAAATGAAAATGGACCAAGATGGAAGTAAGATGTAACCTCTATTACACTTGGTGAAAAACAGAAAGGCTAACTTTTACCCTGAAGACAACATATATATATATATCAGTGAAAATATATCAATGTTTGCTGTATATGGTTTTAGTAGTGAATGGTTAATTTGGCCACATGTACGCTATTCATTTACCATTTTAGCATGTACATGTAAATCTGGTGGTCCAAAATCCATGAACGCTTTTTGCAAATGACTTGTGATTTATAAAAGAGACTGATCAAAAACTTAATATTATTCTTGAATAGTTGTATTACACAAATTGTCAATTACAAGAATTAATAAGCCTTAATCTTGATTATCATCTAATCTCTTGAAATGATATGTACATACCGGTACTGTAAAATGTGTATTTGTAATATTGAATGTGCTTGAATAAATTGTTTAAAAAATTTCTTGACTAGGTTTCTGGGAACAATTGCCATTCACGTTGCAGAAGCTGCGTACGCCTACGTCTTGTGTTGGTATGTAGTTAGATATAACATGTATTTCATTTTGGTCGTTTCTTCAATTTTGATATCAAAGATTGCTTTAGAACAAATCTTCCTGGCTATTTGACATAGTTATGTTCATCAAACTTGCTATAATTGTGAACCTTCGATTGTCCAAGTTTCATGTACTGAAATATGGTGCTGTGGTCCTCTATATACAGAGTTATGGCCCTTTTTCAACTTTGGTGCCAAACTGCCCATCATGTAGGATGTTTTCTTTGGTTTCCTATCTCATGCATATATATGTCTGCTTGCCCATCTCTTATTCGACCATGGCCTTTATTTTGTTCAATCAATAACTGATTGGTATAATGTGGAATGTGACAGCATTTATTAAATATTTCACGCTGCAGTACTCTCGTTTAGGTTAGAACACTTTTCGCAGGAAGATAGCATATATGCTGATATAAAATTTCATAGACAGTTTTCTTCCCAGATGAAGTTTTGTAGTCAATAATTGATTTCTATTCATTTTACTTTATTATGATAATTTTGCATCCTCCATGATTTATTTACAACCATTCTTTACCTGTGTGTTAAATGAAATAAACTGTCCACAGGTGATACATCTTTGATTTACCTGGTATTTGAATTACATGGATGAAGCACACCTTCGCATGATTGATCATGATGACAAAACCTCTTATATAATGCTCATTAAGGTTTAAAGGGTACATTGTACGAATGATTAAGAAAAAAAGAAAAAAAATCCAGGTGTGCATATATTCAGCATAAATTATATTATCAAATTAGTCTTGTCAATAGATGCAATGATTTATTCATATTTGATATTTTTTCAGTCGGTTTGGTTTAACCTCCTCCGCGACAAAGAAATGGACGTTTCAAACTTTCCTTTTTGGAGTGGCATCTTTATCCATCCTAAGGCGATACAAATCACGGTCTGAGTGATGCTTTGTTTGTGATTTCGTTGATTTCAGGAACAGCAACTCGTAGCTGTGTGCGTGACAGTTTTGTGAGAAAATACCAGATTTTCTTTTTATCAATGCACATAAGCATATGAAAATTACTTGCTTAAGAGGTTGTGTTAATTTATAAGGATGATTAATTTTAAAAATTGAACTTTTAATAAGAAAATTTCTTGGGCTTAAATTTCCATTTTACATTTGCTTGTGTACTTAAGATTATACATATGCAAAGGAGAAGTTATGAGGATACAAATATGTTATGAGTATATTTTTCATTCATCTCTGTTGTGGAATCAAAAAAGGTTATGTTAAATATAAAGATACTTTATTGTTGAATTTCCTGGAATAGTTTGCCAATCTGTATTAATGCAATTCTGTGGAGAAAGAAAAATGGCTAATCATTTGGGGTGGTGAAAATAGTGTTTTACACGATCATGTGTAATTATTATTTTAGTATAAAAGATTTATATGTTTGTAAACCATTTTACGTCTTGATGATTCCTTTGTGATTTTTTGATGTTTTTCTGAAAAGATGTGCAGCGTATGTGTGTATCCCATGGCTACCTATAAAATGTTACCCTCCGATGTTCTTGCATCATCTGTATATCAGAAAATCAAGGAAGTTTTCCTATTTGTGCCAAACTTGTCATTTTATACTTCACTACAATTCCAAAGAAACAATGCTCCATAACAGATGTCAATTTATTTTTATTTTTATTTTCGATTGATGTTGTGAAATCCTAAAGATCTAGCACAAACACAAGGAAATGTTAAATCCAACGTCTGCTGGTGAAAGTTCAGGGAATTTCTGCATACCCAAGTTGATAGATTCTGAAATGGAATCCACAAGTCCGGCCATAAAAGTTAAAAAAAAATCAAAAAAAGAGATGATCAGACAACATCAAATGGGGATTCTCAGGAAAATTAATCCAGTTTACATGTTTTGGCAACTGATATTGTCTGGTCATCTCTTCTCTTGATCTAGCTGATGTTTAATAGAATATATATATTTATTAATTGCTGTATAAAATGTATAACATTGTACAAACATTTTTGTATATATTTTTTTTCTAACTTAATTTAACCCTTTCACCCCTATGTAACTTAAGTAGACTCTACCATGCATTGATATGGATGAGTCCATTATGGTCTACAGTGGTGAAAGGGTTTATGTATATAATGTTCTGTCAACTGTGAACTAAGTTCATGTAAAATGTTTACTTTGTTTGGTGTTCTAGTTTCTACACCAACAAGTTTTAACCAGGTGCTTCCTTACAAGCGTAAACTACATGTCGTGTGTAGCATGTGCATGCTGTCACATGTGAACTAAGTTCATTTAAAATGTTTACTTCGACTTTCTACATCGACAAACTAAATTTTAAATAGGTGGTTCCATACTAGTGTAAACTTCGTGTAGTGTATAGCATGCTGTCACCTGTAAACTATGTTCAAGTAAAATGCGTACGTTGTTTGACTTTTACATTTTCTACATCATTAAACTTAATTTTAAACAGGTGGTTCCGTGATGAAAAATGTAGATTGTGCGACAGGAGTGAGCTCAATACTGTAGGGGTATTACGATTTACCTGGATTGTATCTTGATATATTGCAATGTAGAACAAATGTATTGTAATACAGATAAATGTACAAGGGTACAATGTCACGGGAACAAAACAAATGAAAATGGGGTTTAATTTCAGAAAAATGTATTGTCAACATTACCTCTGAAGACTTACACAACATGGATCATTCTTATTTTAGATTTTCTCTAAACTGATAATTTATTTATCATGAAATTATAGTCATTCCCATCGATATTACCTAAAAACCTTATGTTGTTATAATTAAAAACTGTCAAACAGCTAGTGGATATAACAAGTTTTGTAAAAGCATTGCAGTATAGCAATATTTCATTTTCTACTGTTTAACAATACTGTATATTTGTGAAATTTCATGGGGGTATCAATTTCACTACACTTGTGGTCGCCCAATATAGCCCAAAATTAAAAACGATGAATATACAGAGATAAGACCTGTGTTCCCTTTTATTGTCGAATTATGCAGTTAAAACATCAAATTAATCTTCAGTAGTTTTACATTATTTTGATGAAACACTTGAAAATAGATTCTGTCGCCCAAATTCAAAAGTACCCTCATGAGCGTAACTTTTTTCCTGGCAATTTGAGCAATATTTAATCCCTGCTAACTAGTTCTGATAGGGGCAACCGCCAAATAGTAGCCCTGATAGGGGCAACCACCAAATAGTAGCCCTGATGGGGCAACCACCAAATAGTTGCCCTGATGGGGGCAACCACCAGATAGTAGCCCTGATGGGGGCAACCACCAAATAGTAGCCCTGATGGGGGCAACCACCAAATAGTAGCCCTGAGTGGTCAACCACCAAATAGTAGCCCTGATAGGGGCAACCGCCAAATAGTAGCCCTGATAGGGGCAACCACCAAATAGTAGCCCTGATAGGGGCAACCACGAAATAGCCCTGATGGGGGCAACCACCAAATAGGAGCCCTGATGGGGGCAACCACCAAATAGTAGCGTTGATGGGGGCAACCACCAAATAGTAGCCCTGCTGGGGGCAACCACCAAATAGTAGCCCAGATGGGGGCAACCACCAAATAGTAGCCCTGATCGGGGCAACCACCAAATAGTAGCCCTGCTGGGGGCAACCACCAAATAGTAGCCCTGATGCGGGCAACCACCAAATAGTAGCCCTGATGGGGGCATCCTCCAAATAGTAGCCCTGATGGGGGCAACCACCAAATAGTAGCCCTGCAAAATGCAATAACTATACTGCACCGTAAACATACATAGTTCAGCAATAGATTTTTGTTGTGTTTGAAATATCGTGTTCTATTGTGGGTGCACCAAAATGCAATAATGTACAAAAAATATAGTGAAAGTGCATTTGTAGCATTCTTTTTTATCGTGATATACTGAATACTGAAAAATGTTCGCTGCCATTTAACTTTAGCCTATTTCGCCCTCTGTAATGAGGGTGAATTTATCATTACAGCGAATATAAGGAAACAGCATAACATACATAGTTGTTAAAAGGCGTAAGGCAAAATTAACTCTGGGTGATGATTGATTACATGGGCGAAGGACGAAAGTTTGACTGGGCGAGAATTGCCCCGGTATACAGTACCAATTTTACAATTAATTTTGACAGCCCTTACATTCTGTCTTTATCATGATACAATGTGTTTATTATCTGAATGTCATGATTACTATTGATGAATTCCATACTTATTCTATCTAGCTTTAATATTTCTGATGTTAATTATGTTTGCATGTCCCTATTCGAAAGCAGGAATCACCTTCTAGACTGTATGAACAGTTCTGGTGCTCAAACTCAGTACAGTGTTTATGCTCAAGCACATTTCCTATTTTTTGTGGGAAAGTACATTTTAAACTTTCATATTTTCACATTGCTAGCCTAAACTTGCAATGGAGTGCCATTCCAATTTTTACTTTTTACTTTCTTTGACTATTAGCAAGAATTTCTGTAAGTTACAAGTTATGGTTTACCGTGTGTTTGAGTATGAGAGTGGCATTATGTGACCCGACTCCTTTCAAGTGTTCCATAGGATATGACGGAGGAAAGGCATTCTTTAAAGTAAAAGCCCAAGGCTAAGACTTTGAGTGTACCCTTCTTTCCGAGATAATCTCTCACTGGTCAGTGAGAATATGATATGTGATCATTTTGTAAGCCGAGTGAAAAAAGAAAGGTCCCAGGTTTGAATCACTGGCTGGTTGTATCATCCCCATTACCATTACCCAAATAAACTATCAAATAATAAATAACTTGACACAATGGTGTATATTTGATGGATTTTCTTTATTTCTACACCTTTGTTTCTGATATGGCATGAATACATATGATAAGAACAATGCAAGTACATAAGTGTACAATGGAAGCAGAGGTGTACAAAATCTGTACATACTGTATTATACATGATAAGTCTAGAGGTGTACAAAATTAGTTAATTTACACTAAGAGGGTGTTTGTACTAGTTCTAAATGGACTTTTTAGAGGAGATATTCACTGTACAATTATTACACAGAATATGTACACCAGACAAATAGGTGAATCTTGTAGAATGATGACAGGCATGTTCAGGGGAACCTCGTTAGTCTGGATATTTTCATTCACTGTATCTTCACATGTACAATAACTACAGGGAAATGAATATGTACATAACACAGACTGATGGAACATGTTGTTGGTAGATGACGGGAATATAATAAACAACCTCGATAGTCCACACTTTTTAATACACATGTACACATCAAATCTGTACACTATGTGATATGTACACTTATAGCTGTAATACATTTAATTGGAGCCTAAGTCTTGATCAGTATAAAATAAAAAAGAAAGAAAGAAATCGTTTTACTTACACTGTAATCTAGTTTCTAAATATAAGTGTGGAATGAAATTTTTCCCGATTATCAAGATTGCTGCTTAAGAGTTTCACTGTAAATTTCCTGGTATAAGTATATGCATTAGGCGGAACAATACACAACTCTGAAGGGTCTTGATACATTGTACTTAAGCGATTTAAGATACAATCTTTGTACATATTCTATAGTGATGGTGATTAATGTAGGCCCACACTGATGTATTGAGCAAATGTAACAAATTTTGACATTATAAACTGACACTTCCTGAACAGTATAGTGCAAGTGAAACAGAAATACTGATCCAAAGGGTATGGTATAGACATTGACAGAAGCCATCTTTGTTGGGGGGGGGGGTTCTGAGAGGAATGCCATTTGTTACAGCAGGCATCCGCTAAAAAGATGTCTCCTCTATCGTACACTCCCACCAACAGACAGAACCACACATACATAAGCCACATGTGTGGCTATGACATCCCAGTGGACGATGGGGGTTATCTTATTTATATTCAGGAGATACACATGTGACAATAGTGTTAAATACTATAACATATACAGAAGTTATACGAGAAAATACAAACGGTTAAATAACCTATATTACATGTCAGCACCAATGTTAAGGGGAAGTAACTTCGTAAAATCTGTTTAGTAAGGGAAGTAACTCCGTCAATCTGTATAGTAAGGGCAAATATTTCCTCTCTGTATACTGTATAGTGTGTATATATTATAATAATACTTTTTTCTATTTTCGTTTGTTTGGTCTATAGCTCCAATCACTTACATTTACAAAGTTGCTAGATTAATTTTGCATGAATTCGACTGCACATGTATACAATTAAGTCTGATGACCATTTTATTTAAATATAGATACCCACCCGTCAAATCTTAAAGCTGTATTGAAAGAATTCAAACTCAGTTATCATTAGGATCAATTCCCATTATCTTAATTTGAAATGACCCTTTTTAACATAAATAACATCCATATCAATTTCCTTACAAAAATTACTGCTTAAATTAGATATTTTTCATACAATAGAATCCTCTTTTTCTGATAACTAGACTAATCCGTTTTTGCACCCTATCATATCAAAGTTAAGCGATCTCTAGCTGTATTATGTACCATATATGGATTTCAATTGAAGCCCATAGATTTTATTATATAAACTAGAACAATGATTTTTCAATAAAGTATTGTTTTATTGAAATCTTTAGGACTGATTTATGAAGTATCCATGTAAAACAAGGAAAGAGAGCTATTGCATTCTCTTTGTTTTTATATTCAATGGCACATATAAATGCAATAATAAAGTCTAAAATAAGCATACAACTCTAAATAAGTCTGTACACATTTTTCAATTGCGAAATAAGCTTTGCCTTTACACCACCAATAATAACTTTCCTGTTCTGTTTTTCAATCTTTCACCCCTTTGTAACTTAGTAGACTCTACTATGCTTTGATCTGGATGAGTTCATTATGGTCTACAGTGATGAAAGGATTAATCAAACATCTTAAATCAAAATATCCTCAAAATTATTTCAGCTTAAATTCAGAGGCAGAATTTAGACAATTCGATTTTTTTTTGTTCTGTATATTTTGTCAAAAGCAAGACTTCACATTGTTGACTTATCTGATTTCGTTCTTTCTGTGACTGTAAATAGCCTTCATTGCACACAAACACTTGCACACTAAAATAATGTAAACGGGTAGTTAACAAATGTTCACCGAGGATTTGATGAGGACATGAGGACACACAAAGGAACATTGGATACACACTTGCATAAGGTTTGAACACCTCACAACATATTCCGCATGAACAAGTCACCTTCATACGGTAACCGCATCAAGGGGAGTTCATTATGATAAAAATTTCTTATACATAGATAGAAAACAATAAATATGCAAAGTAATAGAAGCAATAAAACTGAAGAGCCAGTCTTTATTAAAATTGAACTGAAAAAAAGGTTTTCTTTCAGGAGTTGATACTTAAAAGTTCATGTTTATAATAAACACATAAATTACAATGTACAAATGCTTCACATTAAAAATTGTTTAAAAATGATATATACATGTTAAGTACTGTACATTAACATTGGTTAAACGGTTCCTAGTACCGGTATACACAACAAACCATAGTATCCTTGAAGTATGCAGCTTAATTAACAATGAAATGCAGTACATATTAATGTTACATCAATAACAGACCCAGGGCCTGCAAGGAAGGTGCTCGGTGTATACATATGGACACTTTAAATATTTCTAAATTATGAAAAAAAGATGACCAATATTGATGGCAAACCTGTGTTAAATTTAGTCACAAGGAAAGATAACTCTTCACTAACCAGTGTACCTATAGCATCAGGTAATAAAAACCTGGCATTTGCATCTGAACCAGGGAAAGACAACTCTTCCATGCTGATGTGTCTTGTTTATACCTGTATATTAGACTATTACGGTAATACTAATTATATATTATAAAATCAAGCACTTTTTTGTAGTAAGAATGTGTCACTAACTTTAAATTCAAATATATGCATCTTTGAACATATACATCACACTTTGAAGATTTTCAAGTTGTACAATAGTGAGTTTTATGTATGTTTAGATAAAAAAACTTTCTGCGATTTGAATCAAACTCAAGGATAACCACAATAACAGAACTAAACATTTTAGATTTGAACATGCATTGTATATTATGCTGAACACAACCAAAATGAAATGAAGACAATATTGTTTTAATAGTTTGTTTATCTGAATGATCATTTTCTATCTTAAATAATTTTTAATCCTCCAGCAAAACAGAATTGTATTTCATAACATTTAATAAAACTCATTTAAGCAAAAAAAGCCTACTTGAAAAAAAAAAAGTATATGACTGACAATCATGAGAAAATGTACTTTACCGCTTCTAGTATAACAAAGGTTTACAATAGAAGGAAAAGACAAATCCTGACCGAGCAGCTGTTACACTGAGGGTAAGGCACAGTCAAACACATGTGACGTAGGGAGAGAAAAAACATTCACAATCAAACTAATTCAGGATATCGCACTAAAACTTCCCATGTCTTATGTTTAGTGTTCTGGCTTCAACAAAAATATAAATCATATCAAAAGAAATGTTAAGAATTTAAGCAATGGATGAAGACTCCCTTCCCAAGTGGTCTCTATGTAAAGAGAACTAGAAATTTAGAATTTGTTTTAGCCTCAAACTCCCTTAATTTGTTTTAGCCTCAAACTCCCTTTTAAAATCTATGTTTACAGCTCAATTCACTGATGTCTTTAAAGATCATTGTAGTCTACATCATAATAAGGTGATCCAGCAGATTTACCTTCGTGTCAACAATAATTGTGATGGATGATTAAATATTTCTATAAAATTAACATTTTATGGGTATACAGTACTTTGTTAAAAAAATATGACTAGTGCAATATTACAAATCAATTTATCTAATTATGTTAAATAACCATATACACTCTAATAAAAAATAGCCCTATACAACTGCAAAATATTGTATGTTTGCGACATGTGCTTGTAAACACTGATATGCAAGTTTCAATAATCTTTTTGTATTTAACCAATGCAATACAACCCCATAATGTAACATTTCTTTTTCTATATGCATACTCTCAATGCATCAACTAATTATGAGACACATACCCACAATGCATATGCTATTTTCTGGGCACATATTCACAATTCATCAGCTCTATTTGGGACAAGCATTAAGAATGCATTGACTATTTTCAGAACACATACCCACAATGAATCTGCTACTTTTGAGATGCATACCCATAATGCATCAGCTACTTTTGGAACAATTACCCACAATGGAACAACCACTGCAATTGTACCAACACACAAGTTCTGCATGACCGATGCTTTTCAGAGTGGTTTTATGTTTTAATCTTTTAGCAGTTGATAAAATGGTAAAACTAATACAAAATGTTTTCCCTAAATTTAATGAACAAGACATGCTTGTATCATATAAGTCACTGGTGTGTATTGTTTTTAAATAGGGTGGGCTGAACAATGAGCCTATTTGTTTATGACTGGAAAACCGTGACTACAGGAGGAGAATGTTGTGTAACCTGTATGAGGTACTGGTGATGCCACAAGCTTCCAAGTGTTAGATAAGGGTTTATGTTAGTAATAAGTTATTAGAAAGATACAAAATCTGACCCGTATGAACAAGAATCTGTATATTAAAGAGATCTAAGGCATGTTTCAAGAACCATGCATTTTTGTCGGGACATGTTACAATTACCATAATATAGTTTTAGGCCAACATTTAAGTCATGATTATCTTGTTTGGTCTTCACTTCCATATCTCTTCCCTAAGAATTGAGCTGCAATTACGCCAACATTCTGAAATTCACATGGGGCTATTCCCAAATTTATTTTTTTACATGATTTAAATGGAGATGTAAGTTCAAACTCGACTTGAGGCGGACTTAAAGTATTGGAGATATTGGGGTTTATCTATATATTGGGGTTTATCTATTGTGACAAAAAAATTATTATAGAGGCTGAAATTAACTTTCAACTCATAAAAATGTTTGGCAAAGAAGGTGCAAAATTCAACACCATCATATCAATCATGTTTAGCTAGTTTAATATGTTTCCTTACTGTTAAAATCAAATTTCAAACATTATAATCAATCCTGTTTACGAAAATCACAGAATGATGCGAATAATTCTGACTTGAATGTGTACAGACTAAACCTATGTAGGTTCCTAGCTTACATACTGACTACACACAGCTACATAAACATACAGCTAAATTACTATATAACTACCTTAGTATCTATTTCATTTCTCATCAGTTGCATTCAGATATTATGCATAGTTCAAGGATAGGTGAATATGAAATCTTGAAAATTTCATGTATCACTTAATATTTAAAAGTCTTGAGAGTTTCATAAACTAATACATGTACATCATTTTATGTCTAGTCACATTTAACTCATTCACCCCTGAAATTTCATAATGAACTATTCCAACTTTTGAATCAGAAGAGTTCAAATGTGTTTTCAGGGGTGAACGAGTAAAGGACAGGATAACCTGTGCTCAGTTACATATCTTTACTCCTGTTTCCACATCTCCAAAGTTATTGCAAAAACATATGGTAAGTAGTGTAAAACTTTATCTGGCTCCTGGATAATAATTTTTAGAATATGGTTTTATTAAATAAATGTAATAATTGTAATAATTAGCATTCTATATATTTCATTTTTTGTCTTGAGTACATTTTGACATCTAATTTGGGTGTGAAAAACATGTTTTAAGCATTCTAAAATTTAATATGGGTCTTCAGTAATTTTTTAAATAATTACAGTGTCTTTGAGCATTATAAACACTAAACTGAGTTGTATATCACAAATCACATGATTCAATTCAATACTCAATCAATGTCAGACTTGATTGTCTGATCTTTAATAGATAAATGCTACCAATTCAACCACCTCCCCACCCCAAATGTTGAATTGTAAAATTACAGTAGTAAATATTTAGATATTCTATGACACGGAGATATTTTTCTGAACTCCAAATAAAAAGTTTTAAAACGGGGATTTGAATAATAATGTTTACTCTGATAATAAATCCCATATACATGTATATATATATATATGTACATAATTAATTTAAAATAACATTAAAAATATTTCCCCTTATAAATCCCATATCATCTTCTTTTTTGTTTAAAAAGACGTACAATGTAATTATATTAACAATTAACCGATTACAAACGTTGAAATTCATCCAGTCATTTCCACTTGTCACTCATATAGAAAATATTTAAAATCAATTCTGTATCACCTTCATGAATGATTTCAGACACAACAAGTTTTCTACACAAATGTTCGAAAATATTATGAAAGATAGCTATCTCACAATCACAAACCCATTGAAGTTATTACCAGTCACGCCCATGTTAAAATACTGCACTAAAAACAGTTACGCACCATTTAGTCTAATACTGTCCCAATATTTCACTGAACAACAGGTTTCATCAAGAAAATTTCCATTAACGCACCCTTTTAAATTAGTTTTAAAATCACCCACATTGCTGGTTTTTCTTAAAATAGTATAAGAAGTCCTAACTCTTTTTACTATAGATCAGAACTGGTTTCTGAGTATCAAGTTAATAAACATGTATTTCAGTAACAGTCAGAGTTGTCTCTGAGTGGGCAGCTTGGCGACGATATGGCCGACTTGACTAGGTGTCACAGTGACAGGCAGACAGAGGTTTTGATTGGCTGCCGATTGTAAGTGCTATGACAACTGGTTGCTGTCCATCCTACTGAAGAGTCTGACTCGACGGGAGCTGTTTGTAGCGTGGTTGATGACCTCCATCCACCTGAGAATAAATACCGGTAAACTTAGGGTTTGTAAAATACAGGTACACTATGGTAAACTAAGTTGGTCAAAAATTGGTGGTGTGTCAAAATACAGGTAAAATGTCAGCGATTTTGATAGAGTATTGCACTAGGGGACTCCAATGGAAATAAGCTTTCTGTGGCTTTAATGGGATATCCCAGGCTAAGGCAAAATACGTAAGTTATAGATATCAACTTTGTAGATTACCTACTTAGATGTTGTTGTTGTGTTTGCCTTTTCCTAAAGAAATATCATTATAATTCTTATTATTCTGCGAAACATTCTGTTTCACATAGTACGATTTTCGTGTTTAACTGGTAGAATTGCTTTTTGCTCAGTGTTAATTTCGCCCTTCCCATGTTACTGTTATATATAGTATTTTGTGTATTTTTCACTGTTGTGATACAATATTGTAAATACAGTATTTTTTGTGATATTAAATTTATAGTTTAGACCCACCTCTCAAAGGTATACTCGCTCTCAGCCCTGAAGAAGTACACATGGTTTTTAAACTGGAGTTTGAAGACGTGGTCTTTGTGAATACTGTCCTCTTCCTCAGGCGTATTGACCGCATAACCTAGCAAAGGCAGGCTGGCCAGGGGGAAGTCATCCTGTGATGGAGAAAATGAAGTATATAATCAACAGATTCACATTTACTCTATCTGACTATTTCCTTCTGCTGTAGATATCCTCTGTAGCTGTCGTTAAAGCTTGTAGGCCAAGATGAAAGAACAGGTTCTTAAAGTGGGAGGAAACTTAAATACCAGAACAAAATCCAGGCGAACGGCAGAATTCCCGACTGGTTCGAAGGCCTGCGACAACTAACTTAATGTTAGGCTAACATGTTAAAAGCAATTTTATAAGGTAATGTCTGGACCTGTGACCTTTTTTGATATATACATAAAACTTACATTAACTTAAAGGACTGGTTAAGATTTTAACAAGCCCAGTGGTCCAGGTGATCATTTAACCTCTATCTGACCCCGAGGATCAATTACACCAACTACAAAGAACATAGTTCACTTCCTCCAACGCCCCCCACCAATATTTTATTTTCCCCAGCCAAGTTGTTCACTTGTGTCTGAAATCTTAATGATCACTTGTGTCAGATAAACTTCCCTCGAATAATAGTATTTACGTCTTCAGAAAATTAATTAAGTTCAAAAGGACAATTTTTTACCTGATATGTTTTGTAGAAAAATAGACAAAAGTTTGTAAACACGACCCAGAGTTTCTGCCAGCCGTTGCTGTTCTTGAACTTTCGCAGCAGGTATCCACTCAGTTGGTTCTGTAACGTAAACCATTGAACTTTAAAATAAAAAGCCCCTATACATAGCAACATTCGTTTATATCACTGTCACAAATTATAGGTACTGTTAAAATCAAATCAATACTAATCACTTCAACACTAGAAATCTGACAATAATTAACAGCTATTTATTTCTGTGTGGGCTTTCTCTTTTCGAATATGACCATTTTTTGGACAACAATTAATAGTTATCTGTTTTTGTGTGGACTTTTTTTTTTTTTTTTCGAATGTGACAATTTTTATGACTGTACTAAGTATGATTAATAAAGCCTAACAATGCCATTTTCATCATCCAAAAACCTTTGAGGAATTTTTTTACCAAGATATATATTTTGTGTAATTTTGTTGCAAAACACTCAGATGTTTACACAACCATTACCCTATATTAAGAAGAAATCAGGGTGTTTGAACTGGAAACAACTTAAACATAGAAGCTTACTAACACTTTAAACCTGTGAGTTGTGTAAACATTATATCTCCTTTGTGATTGTGTTTATCTCCCTTGTGAGTTGTGTTTATCTCCCTTGTGATTTGTGTTTATCTCCCCTGTGAGTTGTGTTTATCTACCTTGTAAGTTGTGTTTATCTCCCTTTTGATTTGTGTTTATCTCCCTTGTGATTTGTGTTATCTCCCCTGTGAGTTGTGTTGGAATTTTCTTCCTTACAATACTATAACTTAATTTTCAGAATTAATGGAGTGTTATTATTATGTCATTAATTAACAGATCAAATCAAAAGTACTACTTATTATAAATCAGCAAAGACTTCTTATGGTGTAACTATTATATCACAGTTAAGGTAACAAACACCCTTAAAGAAACAACCACAAATAAACTGCCCCTCCTTACCTTAACAGCCTTGTCGTGGTCCCGCATGCTAACACTTGTGTTTCTATGCCAACACACATGCATTGTGGTGTTGGCGCGGTGCTGGATCTGTTTTTCAGGCGGTGATCCATTGACCTCCACACTCTGACCTTCACCTTCAACATTTTCTGATGAACCTGTCGAAAGATTGTCATTAAAATCCATCCAATTGTGAAGATTGTAAAATTAAAGCAGATGAAGATCAAATCATTCTCACTTGATACAGTAAAACAGAACCTCTTTGGGGTGAGATAGCTCTATATATAGGGGAATCTTTCCCCGAGGGTTGAGATTCCCAATCTCACCTCAAGGGGGTGAACGATTCTGTTTCTCTTACCCTGTTCACCCATTGTGTATCATATACACAATGTTATGTAAATGTTAAAAGGCTAAATGCATTGTTGACGTGACGTTGATGCATTGCTGATGCAACGTCATTGTATTGTTGACGTGATCATGACGTCATACCCCTCTCAACCCTACGGTGAGACAGGGATATCTCACACCGGGAAAAGTATGGATACTCCTGTCCAGGGTAAGAGAAAACTCTTTCCCAGATAGGTGCTCCCAGTGACCCCAGTTTGGGAACCACATTTTTTTCTAAACTTTAACTGTAGGAGTCTGGAGATGAGGACTAATACACTTACTAGTGGAGGATTTCAGACTAGAATACTTCAGTTTATCATCGTTCCTGTTTTTGGCTTGGATAATTGCTTCATTTAGATCCTCTATCCATTTATCTTTTTCCTCTTGAGAACTACAACATAATTATCACATTCATTAACATGAGAACTTCAACATAATTATCACATTAAAAAACATGATCATCTGTAAGAAATCTACAGACAATATAAGTTCACTTTTATTATTTGTTATCAGACTGTAGTGCAAAACTCTTGAATTACTTAATATATCATAATGTTTTCTTGATTCACCAGTCAATACATCTCCAGCACACACGCATACATACACACATAGGGAGATATTAGCCAGGTGGCATAGGACTAGTAGTTAGCGCCTGATAAGGCAGCTCCTGCGAATTCCTCAAAATTGTAATGATTAATGTATATGCTAATTGTATTCATTGTATTAAATTGTATATCTATGTACTGTAAGGCGCTTTAGAGTGGCTTATGTTAGCTAGAAAGGGCGCTATAGCAAATGTTGTAATACTTGTATATTTATTTATTTATCTATTTATGAAAACACTAGATTTTGTGAATTAACTCTTTTTAGCGTACAAACACACCTGTGACAATATTACGAGCAAATACTATGAAACTATCTATGATCAAGATAAAGTGTCTCTTTGTTCTGATTTCACTAAAAGAAAGAGTTGCGTGCTCAGGTAGGTGGTCTCTTCGTGTGTAACATGGACAGCTTCACAACACTTCGTGTGTAACATGGACAGCTCCACAACTTACCTAGCTGCCACTAATATACATTTGTTGCCACCATAAATTGCGAAACTGTTGGCGACTGCCATCTTGGCATGATCAGACTCCTCCACCTGTATAAAAAGACAATCCTCGAGATATAAAATAATATGTTTGAAATATGTATTTTTATGTAGTTATAGCAACTGCTAGAAATATCAAACTTAAACATGTTTTTTCATTCCCCTCCAATTTCATGAGAGGAACACGTACTGTATTGTTACTCATATCTGTCTGGTCCAGTCCCACTTCTGTGTTAGGATACTAGCGGCTCTTATTGTTTAACTGATTACAATCATACTTTATATGAAGATCAAGTATGGGAATACCTGAAAGGGGGGTCCTATTTCGGGGTTCCATTGTCAAAGTCAAGGTCATCATCACTACTTTTAGAAATATTCAAATGAACACAGTGACTTCAATCTGGCAACTTCATTTTTTAACTGATATTGATTAAACTTAGTCAAGTGTGAGAATACCTCCAATGAGTTCCTTTTTCAGGGTTACAAGATCAAAGTCGAGGTCACCATTGCTATTTACAGAAATTGTTCACACAAAGACAACACTCAGCACCAGAGTGCCTCTGGGGAAACTCATGTCTTACAGATATTTCCTTGTTTGTTCTTATACCATTATAAGCATTATATTCTACATTAAGCCCTTTTCTCACCTCCCTTATAAATATCTCACTCGCCATGTAACAAATTTTCAATAATATCCTGAGAGAATATAAATGTATGTTTTAGGTTACTTTAATACTATTTCACAAACAAATACTACCAGGTAATATATTGTTAAGGTTCTAATTGTTTCTGATCTTTGAGTTTCGGCATTCAATTATATGTAAATTATGGTATGTATGTGCCATTAACTGTATAAACTCAGCAAGGCGATTTAATGATCTTCTCATGAAAATGTCTTCCCTATTACTCACAATCATGCCTCGTAGAGGGAGCTGGCCGTGAACTTTGAACTGCAAGAGATGTGTAGTTGTCCGACTGGTGTACACCAACAGGTCCGAAAACTGTAGAAAGACAATTTCAAATTAAAATTGAATTAAGATGTGAAGTCAAAATAAATTTCTTTTACAAATATCTGACAAAATGATCTAACGAAAGAATACAATATTCTGAACTAATGAATATTGTAGGAAATCAAATAAGACATTTTTGTACAAACAAACTTATAGAGAACTTGCTAATAAAAGTGTCATATTATTTCTCCTGACAAGAAATTGTCCCTTAGATATCAGGCTCTGTAGTGAATTATGTCCAATACATACTTATTACTGTGTTCTATTGAGTTAGCTATAAATAGTGATTGCTATAACTGAATAATTGAAATGTATTATTGTTGATATTTATGAACACCCTTTTCATGTCATGGTCCCTTCAGTACTGTTATAGTTCTATCTACTCACCAAGAAAAACATTCTTTGCTGGTATCCCTTCCTCGAAAATTTCTGAAGGCATCCTTCTCGAATGAAAATCTGAAAATCAATCAAAATGCATATTGTTTAGAGTACAATTATTCATTTTCTTTAAACAAATTATGTAAAGCGACTTCAGAACATATGAAGTTGGAAACTTGTAATTGAAATCTCCAATATGGAGGTTTTAATGAAAATATAATATTGTTGAAATAAGTGAAGTACTGGGTAAAATTCAGTATAAACATACCCTGTCTACATGTACGAGTGTGTCCAGACCGACCAGATCTCGCTGTATCTCCATCAGCTTCTGCAGGTTCTCCTGAAAATTAGACATTCAAAATCACAAACTAGCCATGACGTAAGTATAAAACTTCAGTGGATATCTAGTTTCGAAACATTTTATATAAACTTGTTTTATTTTCTCAACTTATATAACCAAGGGGCATGGATTGCTTTACTTGTAGTATTAAACAAGAGGCCCAGAGGGCCTGTATCGCTCACCTGGATACCTAAGCAATCATGGCAAAGTATTCTCCAAATGAGATCAAGGGAATATGACAGACACCAAGGCCAATCCTTGTAGCATAGCTATATTAGATTTTTCATACCCAGCAATTTTATGTATGGTTATGGGGTGGGGATCTCAACTGTTTCCAAGCTTTGACTCAGTAACTAGGTCCCTAGAGTTGTGGCCAGACCCCAGGATCGATTCTAATATCGTGACTGCATTTGTCTCTTTTGGCCCAGCATTTTTATATATAGTTTTGGGGTGGGGATCTCAACCGTTTCAAAGTTATGACCCAGGGGCCAAGTCTGCAAGGGTGGGGCAGACCCTGGGATCAATTCTAATATCATGACTGCATTCGTCTCTTTATGCCTAACAATTGTATATATAGTTTTGGGGTGGGGATATTAACCATTTCGAAGTTATGACCCAGGGGTTAAGTCTCCAAGGGTGGGGCAGTCCCCAAGGCCAACCTGGAAGCATATGTACAATCATCTCTTTATACTCAGCAATTGTATATATACGGTTATAGGGTGGGGCTCTCAACTGTTTCCAAGCTGTGACTAAGAAACTAGGTCCCTAGGGGTTCGGTCAGACCCCAGGGTCTATTCTGATATCATGATTGCATTCGTCTCTTTATGCCCAGCATTTGTATATATAGTTTTGGGGTGGGGATCTCAACCGTTTTCAAGTTATGGCCCAGGGACTATGTCTCCAAGGGTGGGGCCAGACCCTAGGGACATCCTGGAAGCAAATGTGCATTCTTCTCTTTATACTCAGCAATTGTATATATGGTTATATGGTGGGGATCTCAACCACTTCCAAGTAATACGTTTTATTGGCCCCACCCCTTAGCCCGGGGGGTTAGCCCCACCATTTGTACAATTTTGAATCCCTGCCTCCCAGGTGACCCCATACTTTTTCACACCTGATCTGGGAATCAAACCCTGGCCGTCTGGGTGAAAGGTAGGTGTGCCCTCCATTGCACCACCAAACCAACTGATTTCAGAGAATTAATACATGTGGATGAAAATTCTTTCTAGCTGTATCAAAGAAAAAATATTTTCACAAAATCTTTCCTATATGTAATCAAATGAAATTTTAAACTGCTTATTTTTTGCTATCTTTTTTCCATGGCGAAATGTAAATGAAGATCATATTTCAGTGAAAATAAGAAATGTTACTTCAGTTAAGACACCTCAGATCAAAATAACTGTTTCCTACTAAATCTGAAACTACCCGGAGTACTATCTCCAAGATGATCACATACCTGTGTTCTCATCCGCTCCTTGTACTCAGTCACCAAAGCGTTCACCTTGGACAGGGCAGCTGCAAACAAAGGTTGCAAGGTCAGAAAATTAATGAATTTTAAAAGAATGTACCAGGTATTTCTTTCTGATGATTTTATTTATTTTGTGAAAAATACCAGTAGTTGAAAATTGAACTTTGAATTTCTTTTGATGATTTGACGCAATCATTAATTTTCCTTAAAAAAAATCCTGAACTAGATGTGTCTGAAAGACACGGATGCTCTGTCTCACACTTAATTACTAAATCAAGGTCGTAGTGGTCAAGATTATAATCATTCATGCATAAAAGATAAAAAGCGAAATTTAAATTTTTAAAAGCACCCTGTGTAATCACAATTTTACTGTAGGGTGTTTCACAGTAACTGTCAAATAATCATTAAAGCTATATAGATATATCTATATCTATATTAGATTACTAAATATATCTATATCTATATTAGATTACTAAATATATCTATATCCATTATCAGATTACTTAATATTATTGATGTGAAATTTTAGATGAGTCTGAAGAATCGCCTTGACGAGATAAAAGTACTAAAGACTCGTTGTTGAGATTATATATAAGTTATTCCTCGTATGCACAAAGGGAGACAGGGATTCTACAGGACTGTTTATGAAACAGTGAATGTCCATCTTTTTGGGTATCAAAGTTAGGTTTATATTGCTGTGAATACCGCAATGATACAGCTGCATTCAGCCTACATTTGAAACTCAGATCTTCAGTGGGCTATCATACCCCCTACTCACAGATCTCCAGTGGGCTATCATAGCCTTACTCACCATTACAGTCTGCATAGTCCTGGTGGTCTTTGGAGTAATGCTTTGTTAGGCCTGGAAATCAAAACAAAACACTAGTTTTACGAGTTCTACATAACAAGCACTATTCAAAGTAAACAAACTCAATATACTGCGCCAAATTACTGTAAATTAAACATGTTCCTCATTCTGTCTAGTGAGCTGGTTTTAATTTACGCTAAAAGTGCCATTTTCCCAACAGTAATTTTACCTTTTATAAATTATAGCATTTATTAGTGATATAATATTAGGATATACCAGTTATTATTTACTGGTATTCTGAAACATAGTATTTAGAATTCCAGTAGCTTGGTAATCTCTACTCCCGACCCATTTCTCCTGCAAACCAAAATTTCAAAACTCAATTTTATAATGTTGCATTGTAGAACTTAAACACACTGGCTATCAGACAGTCACCCACTGTCTGTGTCATACTCACGTTCCAGGAGAAGCTTATAGTGAAGGATTCGCTGTGCTGGCTTGAGAATGAACGTATTCAAGGGGAGGTAACACACTTTCTGTGACTCAAATTCCTTATACATCTTTTCAAAAGACTTCTGCTTCTTGACTGCATGTTCCAGCTCTGTCAGGATGCCCTCTTGTTTATCTAAATAATTCTTATAAAACACCTGGAAATATACAATGAAGTATAACTAAATAAAGTGTGTTTACACTCTCAAATGATAATTGAAACATCCTGTAGTCGAGCGTTACGTACCTTTATTGTGTATAAAATAAAACTTTTCCTTGTTTTTTGGAGACGGTAGTAATGGTTCATTAAATGAATCCTTCTAAGCTATCAATACCCCAGGTAATTAGTCGGCTTTAAGAAGTGGATTTATAGTGGGTAATATGTTTTTATCAGACAAGGAAGATTTCAATGTCTGTGGGAGATGGAAGTATGGTTTCATTAAGTAAATCCGTCTAAGTTATCTTTAATGAGGTGTAATGAAGAACCAGGAAACACTAACCCAACATTCCAATAAAAACAAATCCATCTTTAAATAGCATTTACTAATATTGAAAACATTATATCAAATTGCAACAGAATTATTAAGCTATGTCATTTCATTAGTTTTAGTCAGTTATCTCTCTACACAAAGCTGAAAGTTGAGGAAGCTGAGCACTTAATTAAGTGCTTCAGACTAATATAAACACTACCAACTTTAAACTTCTCTTCCAAAATATCTTTGTCAATAAATAGGAACTTTTCTCTTTTTTATCCTTTTTTTTTATGTTTTCGGAAAAAAATGTTATCAAACTCATTTTTGACATAATATAAATAAAGAAATGAAATGGAAGTGCAACACTGAAATAAAGAGATAACAAATTTTATCAAAAGTGGAATCACTGTTATTTTAGGCCAGTATTTATGCCCTTTTCTTTATGTTTGAAACAAAATACAACTGCAAACTGATTTAACATATAATATAAATCATATGATGATAAAATGATAAAGAAATGCTTTAGTTACTTCCTTTTCTGACAGGTATTATAATTAGCGGCTTGTAATCTAGGTGTACCCAGGTTGAGTAGCTATTTGCTCTTTAAGACTTACCGTCAGAGCCTTAGGGAGGTTGTTCATGAGCACGTCTCCAATTCTCTGGTAGTCACCATTCAGGTGGGCATTGGATTTTCCTTCCCTGTTAAAATGCCATACAAACTAATTAACACATTCACAGGCATTTCATTGATATCTAAATCTAAATTCTTATGACAAATCTCTTTGAATAAATATACTGGTTGCCAAAAGTTGATGTTATGTCCTGATCTACACAAGAATTGTATTTATAATTGGTACCAGTAATGCTAGACCGGACTTTAAACATTTTACAGCAAGTAAGACTTCAGGACTGACCAAGGCTGATGAATAATTTCATATTTCAAACTACATGTACCTATACAAGCATAACGTCAAGGTTATGGGCCAGTACATGTATATACTTAATTGAACTAGATATAATCAGTCCCAGGATTCACTGGGGGTACCTGATACGATGTATACCTACCACATTGATATACGTTGGTCAATGTCCATGAGGAATTTGCTGTGGAACTGGTAGATGGGCTCCAAGGCAGAGAACAGGTTTTCTGTGGGCTCAGGTACAGCTCCCTCCATACTAACGGCATTGTGGAACCACTAATACATACAATTAAAGGAAAAAGATTAAAAAAACTTCCAATGTCTAGTTGAATAGTTGATTTAGGAAATTTCCAATATTTAACGAACTTAGATAAGCAGGTACTACTTTTTTACTATCAGTCACTTTCAAATTTAAATCAGACATTGTTTTCTCAAAGGTTGTCAAGATATAATCACGATAAAACAAAACCAGAGGTCATGACCTTTGACCTTTTGACAGTGGTCATGACCCTGGACATCACCTTAGAGACTGTGTCTTCTACTCACCACGGTGATGACCTCGAGATCTTTGCGATATGTGCGTTCTGTCATCAGTAATTCTTTGGCAATGTAATAGGCTCGGTCAGCAGGGTGTCGCTGTTGGATGAGAGATTATAAATACAGGTCACAATTTATTTTGTAAGATGTCACTATTTTCAATCTTTTTAAAATTGTATTCATTGAAATTCATGAAAGTTAAAAATAAGCATGGTTTTGCGAAAAAGTATGGAAAAGACACAATTCGGACCATCGTAGGACTTTCATGATAAAGTCTCCACTATTTAAGTTGGTACAAAAGCACATTTGAAGTATTTGTCTACTGGGAAATTTTGGCCAAGCCAAACTTTCGCTTTTCACCTTAAATTACTATATATAGTATGCTTTGTACCAATATTTGCTGTCATGATATACTCACTCTCATAACAAACACTGAGAGGTCAAAAGTTAAACTGCCGCACATATTTCCCAGTGTACATAAAACAGATATCTGAGCAATACAAACCTTAATTTTGCGCTTAGGATCATCCTCGGAGTCCTCTGTGCGCGAGGAAGATAGGACGCTGACATTACTCCTTGGGCCGTGACCGTCTATGGACTGGGAGGAGTCAGGGTCCTGCTGCCTGTTAGGGGTAGACCTTAAGGATGGAGGACTGAGGGCCAGCTCCTCAGGGTCCAACGGAGGGGGAGGGGGTGGTGGAGATTCTAGGTCGTGTTCGATGTACGGCGATGTAGCACTCCTGGGAAAGAGGAAGAACAACGCATACATTTCATGCCTTTACTAGAATCATACTAAGATTTACATTTTAATATATATGATTCATGATGTTAATAATTTGATAATAAAATCAAAATCATAGAAGATGACCTTTATTTGACCTTGTGACCTTGACCTTTTGGTTATAATTTGATAAATTGAACAATGTCTATAAAGAAACTAATGCCAGGTCAACCAAGCGAGAACTGAAACCCTACCGTTAATCAGGTAAAGGTGGGAATGATACTGAAAAGAGTATAATTAAACTGTCTCCTTGGTTACCTCTGAAATTGTGGTGGATGAGACACAATGTCATCTGTGAACGGTTCTTCTTGAACGACCTCAGGTATGTTCTCCACCTCGTCACAGCGTGACAGACGGTTCTCATTGGGCATGGTCGGGGCTGTGTCCCGTGAACCTAAGACAGGGGCAGATAACTTCCTGTCAGTGTGACGAAGGGCGTGAGGATGCTGCTGTACTGGACCCACACCAGGGTATGGGGGCGGGGCATCTGTAAAAGCAACAAATGGGCTTACTAAAAGGTTGCATACAAAATTACAAAGACAAACAGAAGACCTAATTAGTAATGGTACATTGAGGTTCGTGTTAAGCCGTCTTCTTTTTTTTGAAATATTCACAATAAGAAATTGTAGTTGACACTTGGGCCCTTTACAGTTCACTTATTTTTATTCATTTTTTTACCCCAACATCAATGTTTCGAAAGGGAAATAACTCTAGCGGACTTAACACCACACTGAATTCTACTGAAAATCAAGTCAAATAACCAAAATACGGTTGTATTTTTTTCATTTTAGTTAATATTTTCTGTCACTCACTTATAATAAAACACCTCTGCTTTACCATGTGTTAATGTAGGACTCAAGCCTGGAGTGTACTTTAAAGATTTCTTGTAGTTCTATCAGTAAAAAGTTATCTAAACATGTCAAAGTATTGCTGCCAAACAAAAAAACACCAGATTGCCTGTAAGTTATTTGTTTTTGTTAGTAATCTTCTGAATACCTGCTGGCTGTGTTTAGAGTTCCAGATATAACATATGGCTGTGTGTCTGTCTCAGCTACCACTCTGTACACACAACACACCGACAGCAACAGTTTACCAGATAGATAGGATGAATAATTTATCAAGTATAAAGAAATAAGTTCACCAGCTTATATATAATTGACATCTGCACATACTGGAATTTATCTTACGGTATGTGGTGACAGATTTTGATTTTTTGTAAAAATTCATTTTCAAAAATTTCAAAAAGAGCTACAGTGGAAATTCATACACTTGTACGGTATTCTGGTTCAGAGAGATGTAAAAAAAAAAAA